AAAGCAAACAAATATTAATGGAGTAATATTGTTTTATGGTTCTGTTTGTTGCAAAAGTAGAACAGAAATAGGCACAGATGAACTCTGCTCTTAGTGAGATAATCGATGTAAAAACATTATAGATGAAAAAAAAAACTATTATAGATGAGATGTCAGATTATAGAGTAAATCAGTGTTCCTCTTAACCATGCAGAAAAAGTTAAGATTTCACTATGCTTAAATTTTAGTAAGCCCTGAAGTGAGCTTAGAAGTGAGATCAGTCCTAAGTGTTCATTGGAAGGACTGATGTTGAAGCTGAAACTCCAATACTTTGGCTACCTGATGTGAAAAACTGACTCATTTGAAAAGACACTGATGCTGGGAAAGATTGAAGGCAGGAGAATAAGGGGACAACAGAGATGGTTGGATGGCATCACCAACTCAATGGACTTGAGTTTGGGTAAACTCTGGGAGTTGATGGACAGGGAGGCCTGGCATGCTGCAGTCCATGGGGTCGCAAAGAGTCAGACAGGACTGAGCTACTGAAATGAACTGAACTAAATTATTAGATGTTTTGAAATGTTTTCATTGTCTTTAAGGACCAGATTGTTACATAGTGTCTTATCTGCTACCAAATTATCTAAATGTTTTTCTACTTTAACTCCAACATTTTTTTTTTTTTTTACCAATTTGCCCACTGTGATGTTGGAGATAAAAAGACAAACATGCAGCTACCAGAATATGAGCATGTGTGTGTCTGTGTGTGTGTCTGTGTGTATGTGCACTCAAGTATATACTTATATTATCAATTCTGAGTAAATTCTACTAACTTTGGATTTTAAATTGATTTTGAGTTAAAATGTTACATTTGAAGTCGTCTCTGATCCTAGTGATATAAAATGAATCCTTGAGATACAATTGCACTTGCATTTTTGATTACATAAATTACTAATGTTTATATGGTTCTGTACTAGTTACATAGTAAATATACTTCAATTCTAATTGTAATACATGCCTAGAATAAAAAAAGTGACTCATATAACTCGTTTACTTTTCCATAGAAACATCCTCACATATAGACACAACTTATAGTTAATTATGTGTTGCAATTTATAGGTGTGCAGACATCCCAAATTAAAATCTAGAGGATTCCCCAATAGATTTTAAAGGTACCTGAAATTGCCACGCTTACTGTTACTTTCTAGGTTGTAAGGGGTAATAAATATTATACATATTGCTGTAAGTTTAGCCCTGCTAAGCATAATGTGTTAAATATCTTAAGTACACAGCATAAATTTGTTGAATGAATGAAAGAATAATACATGATAGTCTCTAAGTTCAACAACTTGTGTCATAATCAAAATGGTGTGTTCCATAATTTCCTCTGAGTTATTGATAAAGATGAGTGTAAGTGTGAACCACTAATACACTGAAATAGATTACATTGTCAACAAGAGAACAGTTGGAAAGAATAGTTTCCTAATTTCAAAGGGGAAAGAGAGTAGAAATGTCCAGGACTTGAGTGTCACTGAGAGAAGTGGACCAAGGATAGTGCCCTAAGCAGACAAAATTGGGGAAAGAAAGGTACATTAGGAACACTTGTTTATTGTCATTTATTGTCAATCATGTGCCTCTGTCTCTCATGCCTAGGATGAAAATGAATGATTTAGGAGATGTCATGTCCTGGTTAACATTACTTGGATACTTGACAATATATGAGTAAGTCCATTTCTTGACAAATAATTCAAACTACTACAGATCATCAATTGTTTCTGACTGCTAGGTTACTATTTTCCTTTGAGAACTGTGAAAATCTGAGTGGAAATTTACCTCAGCAGTGAGTCTATTTAAAAGATAGTTGTATTTCTATTTATCTTATTTTTTTTTTCCTTTGTTTTCTCCTTGGAATACATTACTCTGGATAATATCGATATCACTTTGTAAACTGACAGTTTCATGCAAGCTTTTAAAACGTGCTGAATTTATATCTATTATTAGTGGAAGACAATGTGGAATCATCCAGCTTCACCGCACAACACATTTTAAAAGCTTTTGGAACATTGAAACATAATTAAATTACAGGTTGCATCAATACAAATCAACCATCTATACCTTTTCATTCTAACTTAAAGCAAGCTGGCAGACCTAGCTCTAACCTTACTCCAGTTCACAATGAACTTCATTATACATGCTAAAGAAAATCTCTATACCAGTAGGGAACTGTGCTACAATGATTTGGCATGGTTGACTAAATGCACACGGGGAAATATGTACAAAGGTTTAAAGATTAGATTTAGATGAAATTTTTGTGCCAATTGAATTGAATCATCATGTCAAAATTGAGACACAATGCAGTACTTCTGTATTAAAACAGCCATGGCACAGATGCAAATAAGGTATCATAGTCTTATTGTAGACTATTATTCCTCCATACGCTGATGTAAGTTTAATTTCTCAGTTTTCCTAAAGGTTGTCAGTATTCTGCCTAACTTACATTTCTCCTCTACTAACAATATACGTATTGGAGAAAATCACTAATAGTATTTTAGTGTTCTGAATTAAATCAATTAAACTCAAATATAAGTTATGTGCCAAAGAGAATGATATAAGTAATACTGAGAAAAACAAAAACATTGACAAGTCACGAGTAGGTTAATAATAGCAATATAGTTAGGGTTCTACCCATTATAAATTTAATGACCTTTGGGAATCAAGGGGTTTAGTAAGTTTGTATACTTAATCACTTGGAAAATTAGGAGAAATGGACTTACTACCCAAAATATGAATTTTTTACCAGCAACACTGGCATTATCATGGAAGTTGATCGAAGATAGTCTTAGACCCCCTCATCCCAGATCCAATGAATTAGATAAGCACTAAAAAAAAAAAAAATCCCAAAAAGTTTAATTTTATTTATTTATTTATTTTTGGTTATGTTTGGTTTGGTGGACATTTTTAAGATGTCAGTCTTGGGAGGCAGCATCTCAAGTAACCCTGAGAAAACTGTAGAGAAGGTGGCGGGGTGGGGTGGGGGATAGCATATACAGGAGTTTTTACAACAAGGGGCAGGTATTTGGTAACATCAAATGATTACTGTTAAAGAAAATCAGATATCCCAAATTAAGGAATTTAATGCTTTTCTATACATGGAAAGATGCAAGAGCTTGGGTTCACTGAATTCATTTCTTTGATACTCACCTCAGCTGTCTGAGGCTAGTATCCTGTTTTCACATCCTATTTCCTCAGGGCTCACTGTAGGGAGTGGCTGCAGTCTGATGGCAACTAGATGCCTTGTGTTCCCTCCTTCCTTAGTTTCCCCAGGGCTCACCAGCTCTCTTAACAGTGGCTGCAAATGCTGATGGCTGGAACATCCTTTGTTTACTAATATTCCATTTCTAAGATCTTCCTATTGGTCAGGATTTTGACCAATATTTGGGAGACATTTTATGATCAAATTTTGTCCAACGGTGCTGGGAGATTCATTCTAAATCAATTGAAAATTCTTGTTGATATGCCACTCCAGGCACTAATTTCTGGTTTAGTTTTCTTGTCTGGGAAATCCCATGGACAGAGGAGATTCCCGATTCATTTTATTTTTATTTAAAAAGCTTTGGGACCGCCAGAGGGGAGCTGAGCTGAGGAATTTAGGCTCTTTGGCATAAATGTTGCCCCAAATAATTGCGGTCAGGTATTTCAATGTAAATTTTTTCTAACCCATTAAATATGTATTTTAAAACTGAAGTAAATAGAATTCACTCTTTGGCTTTTAATACTAAGGACCAGTAGGGGGTCTCTTTTGGCCCTTCAGCCTTAGGCAGTGTATCAATATAAAAACCTTGTGTTTTAACCATATAAATATCCATTTTATTTATCCTGTTTTAAATGTCATCTAAATATTACTTTACTTATTAGATATTCTTTTTAAAAGTTCTACTTTGTTGGAAGTACTATCTGGAATTCCTTACATTTTTTTTTCCCATTAGGATTACTTATTCTAATGGTTTTATTAGCATCTATAAGACCCATAGAGAGGAATCAAAAACCACAAACAAAGCTTCAAAAACCAATTTTTCTTTTAAACTAAACTAAAGAAATTTTAAAGCTAAAACTAAGGAAATTTTTAAAGAAATTTCTTTAAACTGAGGAAATTTTTAAGCTAATCATTATATTTTTTCCTACCTTTAATTTTATTTTTGTGTTTATAGGTACTAATAAAATAGCTGTTTATAATGAGGGCACTATAGATTTTGCCACCATGTTAATTTCTCCAATTAAAAAGGATGCCTCATTTGGCCTTTAATAAAATATATATTAATAGTAATTCAAACCAATAAGATGCTTTCCCATGAGAGTGGGTGAAGATGTAACCTAAGTAACATCTAGAATTTACTCTCAAAAATAGCATGGCAGAGGTCAAGTTCTCAAAACACATACATATACAGTCACCCACTGAGAATGTCCTAGGAAGAGCATATAGAATATTTACATCTCAAAGACACAGGGAAATGTAAATTCCCCCCAGAATTCCTTAATTTAAACTCAGAATTCTAAAAAGATATTTTATTAGGCCATAACTGTGTACACAATGAAAGAGCCCCCTTATTTCTAGGGCAAGATTTCCTTTAACTTCCAATTAAGTGAGTTCTTGTAAGATTTGTAAATACATAAACCTGATTGGGGTATTAGTTGGAGGCTGGCAATCTGTCATTTCTTTTTGTTCTGTTTTGAAATCTTTACTTCCCATTCTGAAGTTGGTATCTTGAAATAAAATGGCTAGTAAGGATTATGTGATCGGCCAGTGTGCTGCTTGAGAACTTAACACCTCTAGGTTTTGCCCCAGAGTTGTTTCAGCCCCCTTTCATGTCTCTTGGGTTCTCCCAGTGGCATATAAAACTACCATGGGTGCTCAGATTGCAAAATGACCAGTCCTTATTCACATCCCCAGTTGAGCTAGTTTTTAATTAAATATGTGGTTTTCTATAATAACAATTATTATTATTAATTATTCTATAATAATTCTTTCTGCCAGAAATACATGGAAAACGTGTAACTATAAATGTTGGTTAAAAACGAAAATTTAAATATCAAGGTAGAGTTTAACGGTGATAATGATTTTTTTCTACAACTACCCTATTCTTAGTGAAGATGAGCTGATACTTTTATGATATCATACACATACATGATAATTTAATATTTCTCCTGGAGAATTCCATGGACATTGGAGCCTGACAGGCTACAGTCCATGGAATGACAAAGAGTAGGACACGGCTGAGTGACTAGCACTTTCACTTTCTTACAGTTTAAATTCAGATCTATTTGTCTGCTCTCATCTTATATATTTGAGTTCATATAATATAGTCAGTCCAATTACATAGCTTCATAAGTGGATATTTTAAAAATTTAATATTAACAGCAAGGTTTTATGTTTAATTTTCTGTTTGATATGTGCTGATAATATTTACTTTGCTGTTTCAATTCATATTCAGAGACGAAGAAGAAAATTTCCTTTAGATTATTTTCAAGGTTATTAAATAGATACTTCTTTGAATAATTTTAAGAACTGAGTATTAAAATAGCTTTATTTTTAAAGATATGAACCATCTACAATATTAAAATATCTTATTAAATGGTTTTGCCTATGTAGAGAATTACCTAGAAGTAGATAACATGATGCACATTTAGTGTTAGAAGGAAGTTGTTGACATTTGTAGCAGAAAATATCAAATTAAATAACTCTATCTTGAATTATTCTGAATTACCAATCATCTGTGCCTGTTAGGTAATGACTTCCTATTACGGTTAATGGAAATTGAATGTAAATCTCCATGAACAAAATTAAGGCTATATTGATATCTCAATTCCCTAGGGCATAAGGGTCTGTGATAGTCTCCCTTTAAAAAAAACAAAAATGCTCACTAGAAGCCCGAGGCTAATAACAAAACCTATTTTACAGTAGTGCTTAATGGGTAGGTCAAAAAAAGGCCTGAATTCAGGAAAATAATTTAGTTGCTGGACGTTGAATTTTAAAGTTTCTGGAAGCAGTGCTGCTGAGTTGTGAAAGTGAAAGTCTCTCAGTTGTGTCCAACTCTTTGTGACCCCGTGGACTTAGTCCATGGAATTTTCCAGGCCAGAATATTGGAGTGGGTAGCCTTTTCCTTCTCCAGGGAATCATCCCAACCCAGAGACTGAACCCAGGTCTCCCACATTGCCAGCAGATTCTTTACCAGCTGAGCTACAAGGGAAGCCCAAGAATACTGGAGTGGGTAGCCTGTGCCTTCTCCAGCAGATCTTCCCAACCCAGGAATCAACCTGGGGTCTCCTGCATCACAGGCAGATTCTTTTTCAACTGAGTTATGAGTTGTGATACTGTGCAATCATCCTATAGGGTGAAGAATTGATAGCATATTGTTTCAGAAAAAAAAAAATGTATATAGTCCAAAATAATTACTTCATGATGGGAAAGTATGAATTGATTGTGTTTTCCTATTTTTTCTTTATTTAATTTTCTGCTCCTTTCCAATTTTCACCTCAACCTCTGGATTTCCTTACATTCTAAAGCCTATATGTGTAAACTCTTATCATCTTAATGAACTGTTCCTTTTCTTCTCCTTTCACTTTACTGCATATAAAATCTACCATTTTATTGTAAAGAAAATATTTCTACTCCTTTGTATCAATTTTGTCTCTCACCTGAGCTCAAAAAAACTCCCCTTTTTGCT